GGCACAGTGCCCTGGCAGCAACAGCATCATCATCAGACGCAGTCGGCCCATGCCACGGGTCCGCCCTCGCCGACGAGCATGTCGTCGGGCTGCTCCTCGCCGGGATACTCGCCCAGCCGAACCTTGGATTTGTCCGGCTCCAGTTCCAGTTTCTCGGACAGAAAAGCTGCGGCCGCTTGCTACAATTACAAAGGCGGCCCAGTGCACGAATGGACCAAGGAACAGGTAAACTAACATCAGTATACCAGTCTGTTATTTGAATGACAATGATTAATGGTTGACGCAGGTGGGCCACTGGCTGATGGGCATTGAGCTGGAGCGCTATATACCTGTCTTCAAGGAGCACAACGTGGAGGGCGGCGCCCTGCTCACGCTCGACTCAAAGGACTTCAAGACCTTGGGCGTTTGCGGCGACGATAAGAACAGGTTGAAGAAGCGATTGAAGGACCTGAAGGCGAGCATCGAAAAGGAGCGCAAGGACATGGAGCGAGAGCGTCGCGAGCGCGAGAAAGCCATACGCAAGGCCGAAAAGAAGGCGGCCAAAAAGAAATAAGTAGTTGAATTCTAGATCTTAAGCAACAAAGTAGCCAAAAACCAAACCATATATGCATACTGGGCAGTCATAACATCTCTATGCATACCACAACAGATGCGTTTAAGTATATATAGATATACATATATATTTATAGGAACATAACACATATATACAAGTATATATTAGTGCATAAACTTATAAAAGATAATATAAGACAAACTCCATAAATTATTTGTACAACATACACAAACAAACACACAGTTAGAGATCTATAATACGTACTACATTTTAAACTATTGAAATTAATAAAGCTTAGACGTATTTATGAACTATTCTATAAAATATATAATAATAAAAATTGAAAACACAAAAAGGAAGACAACACAGACATGGTCCAGGGTTGGGTGGGTTAAGGATGCCCAAGCTGACATTGAAATCCAAAAAGGTTTAAAATCACAACTTAAGTTATCCAAATCGAAAGAGAAGAGAAGAATAAGCACACACCAACATAGAAAAAAAAAAAAAACAAAAAGAGAAAGCGTTGGACTGACTGATTTTTATGAATTATTTTTAGGAAAAAGCGAAAAAATAAAAATAATAATGAAAATATGAATAATGGAAGAATCACTTGAAACGAGAATGGAACACGACAAAATTGTACGACTAGCACACTTAAGGAATTCTCTGAACAGACTTGAAGCGGCCTTGAGCAGCTTTAACTAAATTTACAAGACATACATAAATGTACTAACAACTTATCTTATAAATAATTCTAAATACATGCATAAACGTTTAGTGTTTAAGTGAATTGCAAAAGGCAAACTATCGCGAACACACACACACACACACACATACAACACCCAACACACACAATGTCTGTCATGTTCTTTGTTTTCAATAGCAATTACCTTGTGCAATTTCTAGCATAGCATTACATAACAATACAATATATATATATGTATGTTTGTATATCTCGATAATGTGTAACAACAGTTGCATTGTATTTGCCAAGATGGGTGTACCTTTTGCTAAAGTATTCGTATTTGCTTAATGATATATTCGCCAGCCACTTAAGTACTTAAGTCTTAAACTCAAACTAAGAACAACAAACAGATCACGTCAGGTTAAACATTGCAAAGATCTTATCTACACATATGCATAAACATATGAATTTGTGTGTTTGCTTGTATCTAATTTTATGTTTTCGCGTGACTGCTTTTGATTAGTATATTTACTTTTGTATAAATATGTTTAGTTGATATATTACAAATATATACATATATACATGTATGTTTAACATAATATCCATTTGTGTTTACTGTGTCTATTCTCGCTTATTTTTAATATATATATATATATTTTTTTTCAAAATAGATTTCAATTAGGTTTTTATTGATTGATTGAATTTTTAAATTAATTAATTCATTATTCAATAGAATCTTGGCATATTGTTTGTCCAGGCTGAAACCCTCAATGTGCGCACAGAACCGGCTCAAACCCGAACTTCGTAATTCCTCCACTACTATCAAACTGAAATCTTCGTTTTCATAAATATTCATTTAGCTTAACATACAAATTAGTTTAACAACAAATTAAACAAAGTTTTGTGGCGCAGTTAAAATTTTGATATATTTTTTACACATATATTAACATATATAGCAAAATTAATCTTTTCATTTAAATGACAAACCAAGTTTTGAATCCCTGTGGAAAACCTTGTTAACATCTAACACACACACACAAACACAATCGTGCCTTCGTCATTGAGGAAACCGTCCCAGTTTTTTGAAAAACATAGAATATGGCCAACAGATCTGTTCGAATAGCGTACCCAACTTATGCGTTTCATGAATGTTGAATATATCGAAGAACCAATACAGCCGCCGCATATGCCTTAAAGAAGAAATATTTAAACAATTTCAGTTCGAATTTCCCTGTTTGAAAAGTTTTCTCACTTGTTTGTTTGCACTTATCAGGTTTCAGTCTGGAACAGACAATTATTAAATATTCAATTTCCTCCAAATATAGTATTACACCAAATACAATTTACTATAATTTTCTACGATTTGCTTTTATTAGACAGCGACTGCAATAAACGAATGAGTTTTGACAGTTTGATAAATTTATTTGCATTTGTTTTATTTTTTCATATTTTATTTAACTATGCTTGGCTATTTCTCAAACTTGCATTTTCAGCTAAACTTCACTTCAATCTAGACAAGAAACTCAGTAAAAGCACAGAAAATAATAAAAACAATAGCAATGCAATCAACTTGGCTACTTTATCAATCTATATATATATATATTCAAATTAATTGAAAAATTAATAAAAATAAATAATAAAATAAAAATATTTGAAAGCTGTCTTTTGCTCAATTAACTTTTTTATAAATATTTCACAGCCATAAATCAACGAGTTGTTGTTTTTTTAAATGAATGTAGTTAAACTGCGCAGAAGTAAATAAATTTCCCCTATACTTTATGTGTGGTTAGTTAATTTCTAGTGTAAATATTACACATACCTCGGCAAAATACTAAACAAAAACCAAAACACCTGCTGTGAAATATGTCCATGTGATGTGTGGAAAGATTAGGGATAAACTTGCATTCCGTTACAAAATGTACTTAAGAATTTTATGGGCGTGCAACGACTGCGTGATACTCGCTCATGCAGTACAAACACTCTTAAAATTTCAATAATATGTAATTCTAGTATTTTCAACAGTCAAACTAAGTGCCTTAAAAATACTCTTAATTTCTGGTATTTTCAATACTTTTGCAGTTTTATCTTTAAATTATTTTACACAACGATTAAGAGTCTAGTTGAACACAGCAAATTCCAAGTATCAAGACAGACCAATATATCCATAGAAAACTAATATACTCCTCTCATTAAAAGAACGAGTATAGCACCTGACATGACAGTTGCATCTTAAATGAGTTATCGTATTGTGCAACCTTTTGTTTTTTCTTTGATGTTTTCCGATTTCGTTCAAAGATGCAGTAAGGAGATAACTAAATGAAAATCTGGCTCTGGAATTTCTTCTTATCAGTTTGGGAATTTTCCATGCCTCGCGCTCGGCCAGCCAATCGATCGTCTGCTACCTGCTGCCCTGGCCAGAGACCACAGCTCACAGTGTTGGTCAACTCTTGAGGAAGTTTCAAGAATATCGCACTTAATCGGGGAAAGTACATTTATACAAACTTTACTAGCAACTTTACCATGGTGCGTGCGCAACTTTACCAAGTGTGGTAGCTCTGCAATCAGCGTCTGTTTTTCGTCGGAATCGTATTTTTCCAATAATTGCACAAAGACTAATAAAAGTTGTTTACTTGAAATGTAAATCGAAATCAGGCAAACAAATACAATACATCACGATGACGTCCATATACATGCGTGAATATGTACATACATATTTTTATGCCCCCCTCGAAACGGAATTGATAACCCTGCAAGCTTCGTTTCAGTTAGGAAGACAACTGATTAGTGAGTTGTTTTTTTTATTGTTTATAATTAGAGTTCCTTAACTTAGCCGTTAAATCATATTATTTATAGCTGTTGCCAGGTAATGCAGCTGCAATTATATACATTCATCCATATATTCTATATGAGCTTTCACTGTTTCAGGCCTTATCAATGAATCGAATGATTTCAGCATTAAGTAAAATTTTTATTACATTTTTATTCGCCTTGTGTCCAAGCACAGCTTGTGAGATAAGAGAGGAACAGACTAATAACAATAACAATGACAAATATAGCGTGGGGCATGTTTAAAACAATGTTTAAAAATAAAATGTTTTTTATTTGATTTTTTTTTAATTTTCAATCGGCATTTGTGGGAGTTCGTGACAAAGCCGGCATTATTTAATTCGAAATTTTTGTTTATTGAATTTTTAGACATTTGTCACATAGTTTGAAGCACTAACGACTCGGGTTTCTGTTGCAATATAATTTTGGTATTTAGTAATGAAGTTTAATCTTATCAGTTTCAAGCTTTTAATTGGTGATATAATGGCCATTTTCCAGTCATTAATTGGTTTTATGAAGTCGCTTATCGAGTAGGGAGGTCTATTTACTTATCTTATTTTCTATATATGTATTTATTTTTTCGCTATTTAGTTTTGCTTGTTATTATTTAGAAATTTATTAAATTTTGTCCAATTGAATCAGTTTAAGAGATTCGATTCCGGTTTGTGCCTCTGACGTTCATATAACGAGCAGTAGCTGAGGCAGCCGCAGTCGCAGCCGCATCGCCGATCCTAAATTGAATATTTAACAATAAACGTCGACGTCGACAGCGACGCGCACTGTGACGCCAGCAGCGCAGCTGGCACGGGCAGCGTGTGTCGACTGCGGTTTAAAAGGCGAAGCGCCGCTGACGACGCGACTCAATTATCAAAGAACACTCGAGCAGCGAGGCGCAGCTAGGAAATTAAATAGCAACTGAAACTGAAACTGAAACGCGAAACGCGTAAACACAATAAAAATAAAGCTAAAAATCGCGACAAATAAACGAGATAACAATAGACATTCCACTTGTTCAACGTAAATTAGTTTTGATTTGTGTATAATAAATCTAAACGCGGCGCCAACCAGTTAACACTCAGTTGAGATACAACCGAGAATCTCAGAGTTGTGCTAAAACATTTATATAACATTCGCTTATCTATTAAACAAATACTCTGAAACATGACTGGCTACAGCTCCAAGACCGACGTGGCTACGGCCAACGGCAAGCAGAATGGCAGCGGCAACCAAACCGGGGAGAATGGCACCAAACCCACGGAATTCACGCCCCAGGGGAATCACGCGTAAGTAGGCAATGGGGAGCGGGCTTTAGGGGCTTCAGCGCTTCAGCCTGGGCATAGCCCAGTTACATATTTTATCCAAATAAAAGTGCAATCAATAATATTACCTTTACCTGTGCGGGCTGACATCATGTGTTGACCAAGCTATTATTATTGTAGTGCTCAAGGGCCGGGCCGCTGGGCCACCGGACCACCCCAAAATCAATAGAAATCCAATGCCCCTCGCGTAGGCCTTGATTTCGGCATGTCGTAGTTGGCTCCAAAATTACTTTTTTATTACTCCAAATTTTTCTGTTGCCTGTTTGATACACAAATTTTGGATCGAAAATTCTACGCTGGGTTTTGGTTTGCGGCCGCATTTCTTTATCTTGCTCTCAGTCGGCAGAATGTGTTCGCGCGATTGCTGTAACAACAAGGGTCCTGTCAGCAGGACCAAGGAGGGCAATCCCTGCGAGAAGAAAGCTCAGAAACAGGAGTCCGAAATCGTAGTGCCGACGCCACAGAGTTTGCTGTAAGTTGAGGTCAGCCAAGGCCCTTGGTTTAGACTCCAGAGTCTCCTCTTATATAGCCCAAAGCAAACTTCGAGTTCCTTTTCGAGAACATCTAAACGTATCATCAGCTCCCTCTAGCATTTCTATATACACATATATGTATATTCGTATATCAGGTCTATTGAACTGTCCTTGATCTTACCGTTGATATTTCGTGGTCCGCAGCCCAAACATAAATTAAGTGATTCCAGAATACCAAATTACTGGCAATAGGGTTATCGATTTGCGTTCGTTCGCGTGCTCATTAAGAAACCATCCTCAGCGATTACAAATGACGTCGATAATGATTATGGGCTGGAAATGCTAATGCCCCCAAAGCGGAGCGATACGAACGGTGCTCAGCTCTGGCGCCCACTTCATCTAAATTGTTGATAAAAATTCCTTGCCAATTGTGCGTAGAGCGCGTTTTGACCCAGTTAATCAGCCGCTGCTCTCGATTGGCCGACAAAAATGGGCGTGTGCTGCGATCTTGACATAGGCCTTTATCTGTGTATATGCATTATATGAATCAACTAGGCTTTGTTGTTGCCACTTGGTAACGCGATAAAGCCAAGTGTAGATTATTGTGTTGTTTTTGTTTCACGAACTTGTTGAATTTTAATCTATTGATTAGAATTTAATCGCTCATTAAATTTTAAAAATTATAGCCAATTGTGAAATTCTAACTCTTTCAAATCAGATGATGCCTGGCTTCAATATAAACCCGTCTATATAGGGTATCCTCTAGTATATATATATTTACACTTTGCTTAGAGTATCGCCAAGTCAATCTTCAAATTCTTATTTTAGTTTAGTTTTCAAACTGGTTGCAAAGTTTTGCGTCTTTGCTAAAAATGCTAAAACTTTTTTGGCTTTCAAAGAAGTCGTTCTGATCGCTTGATATATGTTATATATATGCAATACATTTAGCATAGCCGGTTTCAATTCGATAATTAACATTTTTAGCTTGGCAAATTAAGTATTATAATTAAGTTTTAATTGCTAGAACACATGTAAAAATCAAAGCGTTTTGTTAGAACCCATTCTTGCTTATACACTGAACCTATTGAAAATGGAAATTTAAGGTATTATGTGTTTGTGATTATGTATGTAACAGGCAGAAATAGGCTTAACAGAATCCATAGATCCTGTGAGTGTTTATTTTCTTGATCAAGATGACAAGCTGAGTCTGTTTCTTCTTCTGGCTCGACATTGCCTTATATTAAGTTAGGGTATTTCAAGAGGAGCACTCCCAACTAGAGCGCTTTTACTTGTTTGTTTCGCGTGACGAAATTTGTACAGCAATTTCATGAGCTTGCTAGACCGATAGACTGAGGGAGATAACCCATAGCCAGATCGATGTGCCCTAAGCCCTAGTCGCATTACATATGCCATTCGGAAAAACAGCACAAATTAATAAACAATCTCTGTCTGGCAACATATTTTTGAGACTAGTGAAAATGATTCGAAAATAGAATTTTTCCGCATCTGATAAGCGTTAAATGTTTTTTCTTTTTATTTTTCATTTTCATTTTGATTTGGCTTTAGATTGAAATGTAAACTAAAACTTTAAACTGGGCCAGAGATGTAAGAGGCATTAGAATGCGAGGTCTGTTTTTAACTTCATCTTCAAATGAAATTGGAATTATGTAGTCTTACCATTTAAACAGTTGGGGTATATATCAACATTTATTTTTGATTTCTTCTAGCACTTGAGGAATTACAATGAAAACATTATTAAATACTCTTTCAATCACTTGCAGCAGCAGCGAAAACAATATTCAATGCTCCCTAACGTCCGACGAGTTCCGGGCTGTGAATTTGATGCGCCAAGACATGTTTGTAGACCAATTTATATCTGATCTTTGTGTGTGTCACTGTCTTGTCACTGTCTTTATCACAATCGTGCACGCTCACAACATATTTCACTTTGCAAACTTGTTTACCATCTAATTGTAATTGTACTTTGATCGATAAGAGTTATGCAAGTAGAATTATTCAAAATTCTTTTCAGTTGATCGTCTTTTGTTGTACCCAACAGTCATTGTAATGTACAATATGCATGTATTATTCTATTCCTTGTGATGTTCCTCTAGCTAATGGTTTATATGATGTTTTCAGGTATCCCTATGAGGTGATCCAGGAGATCGCTGACTTCATTGTCAAGGGCTCCGGCATCCGACCCAAAATTGGCATCATCTGCGGCTCTGGACTTGGCTCTCTGGCCGATATCATACAGAACCCCAAGGTCTTCGACTACGAGAAGATCCCGAACTTCCCAGTTTCCACAGTGGAGGGACATGCTGGCCGACTGGTCGTCGGCACCTTGGAGGGCGCCAACGTGATGGCGATGCAGGGCCGCTTCCACTTCTATGAGGGCTACCCGCTGGCCAAGTGCTCGATGCCGGTGCGCGTGATGAAGCTCTGCGGCGTTGAGTATCTGTTCGCTACGAATGCGGCGGGCGGTATTAACCCGAAGTACGCCGTTGGCGACATTATGCTGATGCACGATCATGTCAACATGCTGGGCTTTGCGGGCAACTCGCCGCTGCAGGGTCCCAATGATCCGCGCTTTGGGCCCCGCTTCCCCGCCCTGGTCAACTCGTACAACAAGGACCTGATCAACAAGGCCATCGAAATCAGCAAAACCATGGGCATCGAGTCGAGTGTGCATGTTGGCGTCTACTCTTGCCTGGGCGGACCCACCTACGAAACCATTGCCGAGCTGAAGGCCCTCCGCATGATGGGCGTCGATGCGGTCGGCATGTCGACGGTGCACGAAGTGATCACGGCCCGCCACTGCGACATGAAGGTGTTCGCCTTCAGCCTGATCACCAACAAGTGCGCCACCGAGTACAGCGACAAGAAGGACGACGAGGCCAGCCACGATGAGGTGATGGCCGTGGCCAAGAACAGGCAGAAGACCTGCTGCGAGCTCGTCTCTCGCCTTGTGGCCGAAATTCAAAAGACAGCGTAGACCAGCACTTGGCTTTTAGAATTTTATACAAATTAACAGTCTAAGCTAAAATATAGTTATCTAAATATAAGTATATGCTTAATACGTACTTTTAGAAAATGTTTAAATAAATCTAATACTTTTCTGAACTATGTATGACGAAATCCAAAAGCATTTAAACTCTTGTAAGTTTGTCAAAATGCATTAACCAGACACTCATTAATCTCGCATTGGCTCATAGATGTTCGAGAAGGTATACTTGAACATCTACTTGAGTTGGGAAATAATTGCTGCGATATAGAGACAATTTTCAAAGGCAATTGTAAATTCAATTTACAATTTGCTCAAATACAGTCATTAAAACCCACAAAAAAGCATAAATAGTGCAGGCATCAGTATTCATCAGGAGTCGTCAGAGGTAAGTGACCGCATTAACCCAAATTATTAAAAATCTCATTTCTCTTTTCAGATTAGAGCACCGCTTCGGCTAAGAGTGTCCCTTAGCATCATAATCCCCGATTGCATATTATTTAACAGAAAAATAAACATGTAAACAAAAATGGTCCAGTATAGTACATATAAGGATGTTGCTTGTATATGCTTAAATCTAAGAGAAATACATATATAAATAATTTACATGTACTTCAGCAAAAACTATATAGATTTGAAAATAAATAAATAATTTATATCAATAAATAATCGAACCGTGTTTTTATTTAACAGGGTCTTTTTGCTGTCGATCAGTGTTCAAACATCAACGGTCGAAAAATAGCACAATATAAAATATTGTTGCATAACTTAGGGGGCTGTTGTTGCGGCCGTTGGCGCTCAAATTTTAAAATTTTACAGCACTCTGCTATTGCTATGTTTAATAACAGCCTCTCAACAGTACTCTGTTACTGAACTGTTAAGTAACTCTTTTCACCCTACAGCTCGTTTCTGTGTGCCTGGTACTTCACCAAAATTGCTGTWKAAGTTTTGGARGTACCAGGCGAACAGAAATGCGTAGTAGGGTGAAAAATGTCTGTTAACAGTGAGTGAGCATAGCCCTGTTATTGCTATGATTAATAACAGCCTCTCAACAGTACTCTGTTACTGTACTGTTAAGGAATTCTTTTCAACCTATAGCTCGTTTCTGTGTGCCTGGTACTTCACCAAAATTGCTGTATAAGTTTTGGAGGTACCAGGCGAATAGAATGAGTAGTAGAGTGAAAAATGTTAATAATGTATGTCATGGTCAGACACTTGATTTAATTTCGAGCCAATGCTAGGAAAGAGAAGACAGCTAAAGCATAAATCATACATATTTTTAGCCATGTGTATGATAATTGCCACACCTCCTTCTGCCCGTTACATACATTTTAAGTTAATCATTAGTTATTTAGCATTCAATCGAATTCAATTATGACTGCAAATTGAACTCGAAAAATGACTCTTCTTATAGACCAGGGTTACATGAATCCATAATACTATTAATCTACTCTTAAATTTAAAATTTTAATTAAAAAAAATAGTACAACCGATGTATGTGAATTTAAAAATTGTATTTGTTCAGTAAAAGCTAAATAATATAACATAAAATTGAAACATAAAAAATACATATGCTAAAATGGACAAAAAAATTGAATATAATAAAATTTTGAATACATAATAATAAAAACTATGAAGGTACGAAACATCGTTCGTATTTTTCTAAAACTTTTTCTGTTGGCGCTCTTTAAAATTAAACAATCGAAATGTTGACTATGACTATGCGAAATCAAAGTACATCAACTTAATATGTACAGGGTAAGAGTATTAAATTCTAACGTTTATTGATAGTTCAGTGCAATTTCATGATAATCTTTGTGCCGCCTGCAAACATATTGTGCCGTTATCATAAGATATAAATGTGTGTATAAATGTTATATATGTAAATACCATGTATATATACGTTAAGTAAGTGTAAAGTATGAGAGTATATAAAGATATGCGCATGGGTATGTCATGTGGTAGCTGTAAATAGTCCTGGTAGAGTACACAATGTTCGTATATAAAGAGTTTTACGAAAATATTTGGTTGCAAGAGTAAGTAGTTTGTGATTGCGTTCACTTAAAAGTCTATATGGTCACATAATAGTAGTCTCGCCTAGAAGAGGCCGCGCTCCTTCTTCAGCTTGGTCTGCTTCCACACGGGCAACTGGTCGAACTCCGCGCGACTCACGCCGAGCGCCTGCTGAAATTCATTCGTGTTCAAGTAGAGCTCCAGGCGAGTGGGCTCGATGCCCTCTGGCAGTGGGCGAGCCTTAAGCACCTCCAGCGGATACTCGGTCTGGGTCATTTGTGCGAGCATTTCACTGATCGACATGGGCACATCGGTGCGACCATCCTGTAATCCGCATAGTAGATATAGGTAATATAAGCAAATTGAGTAAGGTTGAGAATTGGCTTACCTCGATGTTGATTTCACGAACATCGGCACGCTCGCTCCAGTTGGGAAAGAGTGCCCTGAAGGCCACGGGCTCCAGGCCCGCCCAGACAACGTGGCCCTTGACCCCATGGAAGGCAACCGCCTCGTTCTCGCCATGCTTGGCACGCCAATAGTCGACGGCCGTTTCTAGAGCGGCTCGTCGCTCTGAGATCCAACGGTTGACACCCGCACGGTTGTCGTTCGTGGGGCTGCTGCGATCCTCGTCGTTGACTGCAATCAAAGAGACATTAGCATGCATATTCAATTGCTTAGGTCCTGGACCTGGAGACTCACTTTTAATGTCCTCCAGTGGCCACCAGCCCATCCAGAGCCACAATTCGTCGCCGTCATCGAGCAGGAATATGGTCGGCTGGCGAGCATTGTAGAGCTGTGCCTGTGAGAACGGATACGGGGACTGCAAGTCCTGGCAGCGCAGCGGATCGAGCAGCTCGTGGGCCGTAAAGACGCCTTGGGTGCTCGAGAAGTTGAACATGCGCAATGTGTAATCGTAGCACTTGCTTGACCTCAGCAGGCTACCATAGTCGGGCTTCTCAGCGAGATGAAGCGCCGTCTTGCAGGCATCGCTCTCCGCACCCTCCTCCAGCTCTTCCACTGCGGCACTTGCACAGTCGAACATGTCAGCCGGCAGCTGCTCCACGAGCTGCTGAGCAGCCGCCAAGGCGACGCTGCGAGTGTGGCTGGCGCTCTTGCAGCCGTGCCAGATGAGCACCTGTCCCTCGGTGCCATGAACAAGGAGCATGGAGCTGCGCGAACGCAGCTGGCGCGCATCGCATTGGACTTCCTTGAGGATCGATTCCTCTGGCAGATTGCCTTGCAGCTGGTACAAACGCCACTCGGATCGCCTGGCCAGGCATTGTGCTCTGCGACCCTGGTGCTGCCAGAGCTGACGGAAGAGTCGCACAAAGGCGGTGTTCTCCTCGCCTTGGGCCACGCGCATCTGGGCGCCCTTCTCCTTGTCCAGCTCCACGGTCAGCAGAGCTGCGGCGCCCTTCTCATTGGCGCTCGAGTCGACGCCCTGCCAGGTGAAATAGACGCAGCGATCGCGGCCCACAGTGCTGCGATTTGATACCTTGCCACTCAGCTCGCGCACTGTTACCGAGATCTGATATATCCAGCGCACGATATAGCTCTCCGTGGAGTAGAAGTGACCGTAGGTCTCGCGCGACTCCGCCGCATCGAAGTTGAACTCGTGGATTTGCCACTTATCGATCGACTTGCTAATGATGTCGAAGTGGCGCATTGTGTCGTTGTCGTAGTAGAAGTTGCCACGCCCCAAATTGGCCAGCTCAAGCACCAGATTGGGCTCCTGATAGGGCTCGCCCTTGTGCAGAGCTGCACCGTTGAGAGCGCGCACCACCTGCACGCCGTTGGCCAAGTAGTCCTTCTCGAGATCCTCGCGCTCCAGCTCTGGCCAGTCGCTGAACTTCTCCTTGAACAGCACCGTCTCCATATTCTGGGTAATCCTGCCCAGGACGCACCATTCCGGGCGCTGAGCGCAACGCTTGGCGTACTTTGTGCTCTCGCGCCGCCCGACGATGCTCGCATAGTTGATCGGATTCAGATAGCACTGGGCATAGTCTGCCGCATCCGGGGCATCGAAGTGCTCCTGGGCGAGTCGCATGGCCGCCCGCTTGTCATCCGTGCTCGCATTCTTGCCATTCCACACGTACAGCTCGCTGCCAAAGTCAAAGACCAGCACCTTGCGCGTGTCGAGCATCTCCACCTTGGGTATGCTGCCCCAGTACTTCTCGAGGGGCACGAGGGCATCGTTCTGGAACTCGTAGATCTTGTTCGTCTCGATCAGGCTGCTCTCGAACACATCATCCTCGTCCGCATGGCCCGAGTCGGCAATCAGCGACTGCTGCTGCTGCTGCTGCTCCGATTCACCCAGCAGCGACCAGAACTGCCGCCACTCGCGCTCGTTCACGTATTTGCCGTCGGTGAGGATGACCTCCTGCGTGGCTGTGCAGCCCAGATCCTTGTTCTCCACAATCGCGGCGCAGATCTTCTTGCTGCGCGAGATCTCAATCACGTTGGCGAACGAGCCCACGTAGCGGAACAGCTGCGTGCCCGCGACCAAGATGAAGCAGTCACCCCGATTGAGCGACACCTGGGCAGGTGCCACCAGGCGCGTCTGCACATGCGTGCGTCCTTTCACGTGCAGCAGCATCAGGCGCTTGTAGGGCACCCACACCTGCTGCAGGGGAAGCGACGACGATCTCAGTGCCACCGACTTGAAGTCCTCGATCGAGGCGAGGCCTGCAATGGCCTCTGCTGCCAGATTGCTGCGCTGTCCATCTGTCGGATATGGGATGATTAGAGAGGCTTAAGGATAATCCAGAAATATATCAGCACTTACAGGACTCCAGCTTGAGGCGTCGCAGCTCACGCTCGGCCACGCCCGTCCTCAGTTCTGTGTACTCGGAGCAGATGTCGCTGCGTGCGGCCAGCGTCTTGAGCGGATTGCGTGCGGCGCGCCGGCCCTTGGGGCCCTGAATGTTGCGCTTGCTAACCAGGCTAAAGAGGCAGGAGACGAAGCATGAATTGAATTCAAACTAAAGGGAATAGGCCTTACCGCTCCGTGGACTTGATGTCATCGAAGGCGCTTATCTCCAGCTCCACTGTCTGTGCGCTTGCTGAGCTCTTGGCCTGCTGACCGCCAAAGAAGTTCTCGAAGGTCTCGGCATCGTCCGAGCGCGGCACCTGAATCCGGGCGCCCACATTTGTGGCTGCCTCGGCGCTCTTGTTGTTGGCCAGCTCCTTGTGCTGCTTGGCATTGCGCGGCGAGCCATCCGAGTCGGAGCTGGAGCTGCTGCTGCTGCTGCTGCTGCTCTTGTTGCTGTTGCTGCGCGTCAGCGTCACATTCTCCTCCTCCTGGACGCTCAAGCTGCGCTGCACGGCCGTCGGCTTCGTTGCGTGGCCCACCATCATGGAGGGGCTCTTGGCCAGGCCCAGCTGGGGCTGGTTGGCGCTGCGCACCTCCAGCATGGGGCACTTCTTGGCCGCATCGTTGGGCAGCCGCTCGAACTGCAGCTCGACTGGAGACTGCTCCTTCTTCTGCAGTCGGCCAGCGACTGTGAACTTCTTGGCATCCGTTTGCTCTGCAAGCAGTTCATTAACATTATCATTGGCATAATGAATATCAGCTGAGTTTAGTTGCTAGTCGTGTGCTTACCTATGCGCTGCTTCCACTTCTCTGAGTTCGACTTGAGTTTACCCAAGCGATCCGAGACTTTGCCGCCCTCGAGGCTGGCCACGATGAGTGGCGATGGTGGGAGTGGCTTATCCGAGATCGATTGGGCCAGCGAAAGTGATTCCTGTGTGAGCATAAAAAAAAATTAAAACCCAATTAGTACAGTTTTAGCCATTAAGTAAACGACGCGTGGGCGTCGATTGCGAAAAACAACAACAAAGCAACAGACAAAAAAAAAAAAAAACAAAAAACAAAAAACAAATTTAACACAAAATAAAACTAGAAATTTAAATGAATAAAACGCGCACATTGGCTGCAAAAATGGTCATCAATCAAACCATTTTTGGCTACTCCGAGTTGGCTAACATTAATAAAGCTTGGGCAATTCCCAGTCGAGGGCATGACTCACACCTGCCTGGCCTGCCCAGGGCCGACTAAATTGGTTATTTAGTTAGCAGGCTCGACACTTGGACAAAGAGCTGAGAATTAGTAAGCCAAAACTACAAAGCCATTTACCAATTTCCCTTTTTGCATTGCGCACACAGCATTCGAGTCACACCTTAAAGCCAAGTTAATTGATTAGACAACAAATTCAAATTAAATGCGCTATCCAATCTGTAGAGCTGTTTACCGCGCGCCACGGGATCTGTGACTGAGGTACTCATTGCAATGTCCGTAAAAAAAAGAAAAACAACAAAAAACAAAGCTACTGCGTAGTGGAAGGTGAGACAGGTAATGATAGCTGTAAAACAAATAGCCCAAAAGAGAGGCAGAGCAACAGGCAGAGAGAGAGAGAAGGAAGATTAGATATGAGCCAGCACACGCTGAGCTATCAAACAGCCTGACGGAGAGTGGGAGAGATAAGATAAGATAAGCAGCATATTCTCTGAAGAGACAGAGAGAGAGAGAGAGAGAGAGAGAGAGAGAGAGAGAGAGAGAGAGAGAGAGAGAGAGAGAGAGAGAGAGAGAGAGAGAGAGANTTAGACAACAAATTCAAATTAAATGCGCTATCCAATCTGTAGAGCTGTTTACCGCGCGCCACGGGATCTGTGACTGAGGTACTCATTGCAATGTCCGTAAAAAAAAGAAAAACAACAAAAAACAAAGCTACTGCGTAGTGGAAGGTGAGACAGGTAATGATAGCTGTAAAACAAATAGCCCAAAAGAGAGGCAGAGCAACAGGCAGAGAGAGAGAGAAGGAAGATTAGATATGAGCCAGCACACGCTGAGCTATCAAACAGCCTGACGGAGAGTGGGAGAGATAAGATAAGATAAGCAGCATATTCTCTGAAGAGACAGAGAGAGAGAGAGAGAGAGAGAGAGACAGAGAGAGAGAGAGAGAGGGAGAGAGAGAGAGAGAGAGAGCGAGCTGAGAGCATAACGTATTTCTCCAACTGTTTACTTTCATTCGAGTTTCAAGTTTAAACCACAAATTAATTGTAAATATCTCAAATTTATGTTTGCTTCTACACTAAAGATAGCCGCTGAGCTCAGGCCTAACGGCTGTTTGTATTGCCGGCACAATAAATCATTTGTTATCGTCATATATTGTTTATCATAAAACTCAATTGAGAAATTTCCAATTATTTGCAATGCTCGTGTGATTGAGTAAACAAACGCTTTGTTACGCTCACAACCTTCGTGAATGATAGCGAATCGGAATCGGAATTGGAATTGGAATTGGAATCGGAATTGAAATTGGAATTCTTCTGAAGTGGATCGAAAATGCGTCATCAGCAGAGCAAAGCAAAGCAGAGCTGAGCTGAGCTACTACACGGCTTTGTGGCCTGACTGACGATTGCTCGGGCCGTGCGCGCGATGAATCATCGGAGGCATTAAGTGTGATAAGCCGCAATAAAAAAGGGTCAACTCCACCTAAAAGGCGAATAAATATGAACAAAGACAACAAATTTTTGGCATGGCATGACGACGTTTGAATACGCTTTGCAAATGCCATATACAAATAATTATTCCATTCGATCTTTTTGGTTAATGAACGTGAAATCAATATTTAGGCAATAGCATTTAGATGATATTCCCTAAGTTGGCCAATACGTTGGCCTTGAAATTTTTGCCTACACCCACGTAATTAAATGATTTTGGAAACTAACTGCCTCAACACTCATTCGATGGGGGCTTTGTCCAATTGGACCAGCTGCAAATGATGCACAATGAAATCCCAATTGACTATTGCAATCAGCATTTGTTGTGCTCGATGAATAAATAAGTAAATTTACTTTAAAGTGGCGTAAATAGAGCAATTACCCACATTGCATTATGCATTAAAGGCCGTGCACTAAAATAGTAGTAGTCGAGGCACTACTATTTCTAGAAGAAAACTCATTCGCACGACTATTATCATACTCAAACAGATTATTTCCAATTGGAATTTTTGCTATCGATGAATAAACAGAACTGAAACTGAATAAAATTTACCCAGTTTCTATGGAATTTTTGTCACTGTGCATAGACATATCAGCTGCTCCAGTTATTCAGTACTATTCTTAGGTCTACTACTATTTTTATGCTCAACTAGTACTATTTATAAAATTGATATATTTTATATTTAATTAAAATTCCATCTGTAATAAAACTCTTTAGCTTGTCAGCAATATCAAGTAGCTTAACTAAACAAGAGTATTTAAATGGCAATAAGAATCTGTTGCTGTTTCACTTTTATTATCAGTACCACAAAGTATAATCATTGCTGCTATTATATCTTTCGCAACTATGGCATTCGTTGATCTCAAGCTAAGTAAAGAATTCTTTGTGCAGCAATTTCAGTTGATTGTTCAGCTTTGTTGATAGGTTTTGCTCTGTTGTGCTCAAGTTGAAAGGTATTTGCACTCTAGCATCATAAAACCCACTCTAGTATATATCTATATATAAAGAATTTGACTAATGATGCCATATATATATATCCATATGTTATATATCGATTAAATTCGCGCATTTCAATCCAAGAGAATTAATCATAGCAATAAAAGCCCAAATGCCACTCGACAGAGGCAGAGGCAGATGCAGAGGCAAATTAGTTTGGCTAGGAATAGAGCATTTCAGTTGGGTTCTGTTCTGCTCTGTTGGAGGTGCAAAACAGGCGGAAGACTGAATGTTTATTATATAAAATAAATAGCAGCAAAGTGATCAAAACAGCTGCCGAGCAAAGCTGAAATTTTTTCATATTCTAATGCAGTTTTCTTCCTCTTGCTTTTTCGCCAGCTGTGACAAACATAAATTAAGTGAAATTCTTACAATTGATTGTTGTAAACAATTTATTTATAAAATATGTATACTCTCGTATGTATATGTGTGTGTGTGTGAGTAAGACATAAATAATACTAACTACAAATTCGTAGTCAAAGTTTTGTTTAATAAGTACTTTAAGCATTTTAGTACTTTGCATATTTATTTGTCACTTGAGATAATTTGGTTGTTTTATTTTTTTTTTTTTTAGTGTAATTCAATTACAGTTTTATTATTTAAAAAATATATCCACAATGACAATAGTAATAAATAATAATAGTTATAGGCAACTGAGAACTGAGAACCAGAATAGCGACCAGGCAAGGATGCGATACGTTGAGCCCAAGGACTTTGCAGTCCATGGATCTATATATATATACAGATTCTATTGATCAGATCTAATTCGCTAATGTTAATTATAATAATAATAATAATGATAATAATAATAGTAATGTTAATACATTCCATAATTGTTATTGATTTGATTTTTATTTGCTTAAGCTTTCATTAATTAAACAAACAAAATGCAATTGGCGAAGGCTAAGCAGCAGCCAGGGAAATGCGGGGGCGTGGCCTTATCGCAACTGTTTTGCTGTGACTCGGTGAACGAAGCCATTGATAAGTGGGGCAGAGAGATAAGCAGAGTGACAAAGAGAGAGAGAGAGGGAGGGAGGGAGAGAGAAAGAGCTAAGCAAGCTGGGTTCGCACATGGCACGAAGATGATCTACTGCAGATAATCACTCGAAAGTCTCAATATTCTCTTCCCATCTCAACTCGCTTCCAGCTGCTGCAGCGTCGTCTCGTTCACGAACAGCGACTCCTGCTCCTGCTCCTCGTTGAGCAGATCGGTTATGGAGTAGGCGGACAAAGGCCTTGAGAATCTGCGCTCCGACAAGATGTCGTCGATGCAGGTGATGGGCGAGAGGCTGTTGCAGTCGACGGGCTCCTCGGCGCTGCGTGCGATCGCCTGGAAGATGTCCTCCATGCTGGACTTGAGGCACAGAGCGGGCGGCTCGCGCAGCAGCACAGGTGACGGCGGCTCAGGTGAGCTGCAGAGCGGCGATGCAGTCGAGGGCGTGGCTGAGGTGCCCAGGCTGCGCCTTATGGCCGGCACAGGCATCGCAGTCATTGGCTCCCAATCGTTGAGCCTGGATGACTTTTGCTGTTGTTGTTGTTGCTGTTGCTGCTGCTGCTGCTGCTGTTGTTGTTGTTGCTGCTGTTGATCCTGCAGCTCCTGCCACAGTTGCATGGCATGCTCAATGTGCTGCATCTGTGTGGCAATGCTGCCCTTGCGCGAGACGCAGGGCGTCGTCTCGCTGGAGTCCTCGCTGGCGCCCAGCGAGCGTATGTCGGGCAGCGTCACAGGTGTCACGCGGCTCACCTGGCGCGTCGCATTGCCCGACTCGAACATGCGCGCAATCTTGGTCACATTGTTGTGCCTAATGGACGGCAGCTCCGGCTTGTTCAGCGGCTGCTGACGCTTGGGGTAGACGCGAGTCACCGGCTTGCGTTGCTTCGCCTGCTTCGCTGGCAGCTCCTGCGCCTGGACGCTGGCATGGGCGTGGCAGCAGAGCTCAGGGCCATAGCAGCGATGAAACTTGTGACGATTCGCCTCGAAGTCAGCGTCCGCGTAGCGTTTCATGCGCATCAGCGACTTGGGCACCAAGGTGAGCAGCACGTAGGCCACCAACAGGTAGGGCAGGTAGTTCAGCCACTGCCAGGCTGTCTCCAGATACGCTTGGTAGTCGGTTGCCATTGTCATTGCCATTGTTGCCGGCCAATGGAGTTACTCTCTTTCTATCACTATCTGCAATTGCCTTTCTACCGTTCGATTTCGCGAGTATTTATTAACTGTTTCCGCTGGCAAACACAATAATTCTGATATCGTTTTTTCAGTCTTTGATAAGCGGTACTTTTACCATGACATCACAGAACACTAAATTTAAAGAGTTTTTAGTAAAATAAAATTGATATATTTTTTATATTTTTAAAAACAATTTATATATTTTTAAAAATATTGTAATATATTTTGATGTGTAAATCTTTCCAGTGCAACTCAAAAATATTGCAAAAATCTGCCAATCAAATATTTATTTTCTACATTTTTGCAATATCTTCTCGGTTGTCCTTTCTCTTTCTCGCACGCTCGCACACTCGCACACACCTTTCGTTAAGTGCTTTCTGTTGTGATTTGCAATCGGCTGCCGCACTGTTTGTCCTTATATTCATGCATATATGCAAAAACATATTCCAACGCTTGTTTTAGTATTTTTATCTTGGACTGTCATCTGATATCCGCGCAAGGCTGTCTTTTATTTATTCTAGAATTCTTTTGTTTTGCTTTATTTATTTTGAATGTTGTTGTTTTTGTTTTTGCGTTTGCGATTGCTTTTTAGGCGCGTTTTGCATTCCGACGCACCCAGCGGTCGTTCTCTTCGGCTTCTCGTCTTAAATTTAACTGAACGAACCACAACGAACGCAACTTTTATCAAGCAGCGCGCCGCTCTCTGTGGACTTTGCTTTCTCTCCACTCGCTGGCCGCTCTCACGCTCTCTCACAGCGCGACGTAGTGTGTCTTCTGCTGTGCCTTATGATGTTTGGCTTCGTTGAGTTTCGATGACAACGTCGCGAGTGCGTCGTCGGCTGCGGCTGCACTTGCGCACTTTGGCTCCAGAATCGTAGCGAGCGCACAAGCAGTTGGGTTCAAATTGGAGCATCACTCTTATTGGTAATTTCTACACAGGTCAATGCGCATGTGTGTGCGTGTGCATATGAATATCTTCCTTTTTGCATGCATGTGCCTAAGCAACTGGGCAAGTAGTTGGTTTCCAATTGGAGTGCTTGATTATTCCACTTAGTATTTTGCACTGATTCTATTTACGTTCAGTTAGAATGCTCATATTGTTGCAAATGAATTCACTTTACGCTCTGTTTCCATATATTCGCATTAGTTTTAGCTTATTTCGTAATATTTCTATTCAGTTTGCCGATGAGGAATCGTGCATTTATTTTCAAACTATTACGTGGGCTTCGATTTGTAATAGTCACAAAATGCGGGCAAGCGTAATACGGCGCATAAGAAAGTTCTCAAAGGTGAGAATGTATTTGAGTATGTGTGTGTGTGTGTGTGTGTGTGTGTGAGTATGAGTGAAACGACCAGCCTTGAAATACATTTATCTTAATATTTGTCGTGAAATTTGTGTCAACGTTTCACTACGGCTAAGTCAAATGCAAAATGCCAAATGCCAAATAATATGTTAAAAATTATTTTTTTGACTTTATATAATTCGCTTCCTGCTGCGCCGCATTCGACAGTTTATGCAACTTATTTTCGCAGTCAGGAAACTACTTCACATTACTTTTTATGCAATCGGAGCGAATGCGAGTGCGAGAGAGAGATAGACAGTTAGAGAGCGAGAGAGATTTACACACGTCAATTTTTTGATTTGCCGCTTATCAAATTGAATGTCAATGGAAAACGAGCAGCAAAAGCAAAATAATGCATAACAATAACAATAACAATAATAACAATGCTAATAACAATAGTCAAATGCGAATTTTGCGAGTTGCGAAGCGCTCGCCTTGGAGTCGCGGCTCGTACTGCGGCAGCGCTCAGATCGGCGAGCAACAAGTTCCGATTGCAGACTATCAAAGCCGGCTTTGAAAGTGTGAGTGAGAGAGAGTGGGAGAGTGAGAGCGGGAGAGTGAGCGCAGCAAGTCAAGTGCTGTTGTTGTTGTTGTTGCTGCCTCGCAGGCGACAGACAATGAAAACAGACTATTTAAATTAAACTGAGCGCAACCAGGAGAGATCACAGACAGGGGAAGAAAGAAAGAGAGTGCTGGTGAGAGAGAGCGAGGGAGAGGGAGGGAGAGAGATTGCAAGCTTTTAGTGACGAAGGGCCTGATGCACAGAAATTTTTGGATAAATCATGAAGAAAACATGAATCATGTCTGAAGCAATCTTTCAGACCGATGGTATATATATAAAATATATATTATATCATGGCATATGTAAGATGATGCAAGGCTATCAAATCGGATAAATAGTCAGCTTATCTTAAGCAGAACAGAAATGTGCAAAAGAAAATAATGAATCACATAAAGACACCAAAAATAATCAGCAATGAACGGCAGCAACAACAACAGCAAGGCGGCGCGGGGCGTGGCAACGCAGGGAGGGGCACATGAATGCGACCCAACTTGCTTGTAAGAACTCTTTTCTATAGACAAAACCAAAACAACAATAACAACTAGCTACTGTCACTGCGTCTTGGCGAGGCATGGACTAATGAACAAGTACAGCAGATCAGAGCTGGGCAGAAGAAGAAGAGGAAGAAAAAAACAACATAATCGCAACAGCAGGCGAACAATACACGAGCATAATAAACTACCCAAAGGAGGGGCGAGCGATGGGGCTGCGTGTATGTAGAGATAAATGTATGTGTATGCATGCGTGTGTGTGTGTGTTTGTGTGTTTGTGAGTCTGGGCAAAGCAGCAAGTATATCAAATTCAGTAAAACAATTTACAATAGCTAGAGGAAGGCACTAGCAAAGGCACAGGCAAAGGCGAGGCCAAGCCCGGCTGGTTGTTGGGGCCTTTGCTTGGCAGATGAGCACGTTCAAGATCAAGCCACAGATCAAATGCAGCAGCCACAGCAGCTGGACCCGACCAACAAGCCGCAGCAGCAGCAGCAGCAGCAGCAGCATCAAGAATTACAACAGAGGCAATAGTCAGGGGCAGGGCGACGGGGCGTATGTGGAGTAGACGCAGCAAGTCAGCCCAGGCTGCCTTTACAAAGAGACGGAGGCACATCTAGAGGCAGCGAGCTAAATGGAGTGGAAGCTACAGCTCAACCCAAACACAGCCCAACAGCCGCCGCCTTCAGTTCCATCCTTTTTTATTTGATAATTGTTGTTGTTGTTGTTGTTGCTGTTGCTGGTTGCTGTTGCTGCCCACAAGGCAAGTTTCGATAGTAAAAAATGAAGAAATGCAAGTTGGCAGGCAACTGCAGCAGCGTAGGCCCTCCATAAAGTTGCGCTGCCTTAGATGATTATGATGATATGCTTAGCGAACGTGGCCCGATGATGAATGCCACTTGATTATTATGATTTGAATTCCCTTTAAGAATGGTGAAATGTGAGCTTTTAGCTTGGATAACTAATTCGACTCCTATATATAGTTAGAGACTGCTCATATATTTAATTAGCTCAAGCTGGAAGAATTAGAAATAGAGTATAGCAAACACTAATACCTACAGCTAAAATTAGTTTAAGTCTATTAATTCTGAGTCACTATGACTAAGACTAGATTGGTTGTAGCTATAGACTAGCAGCTGGATGGAAGCTGAAGCCATTTCCATGCATAAACCTAATCAAACCCGAATCATAATATAATATTTGATATAATCTACAACAGAGACTGTTTCATTCAATAACTTTTTATTGACTTTCCAATGGCCTTGCCCCACTGTCACAAGTGTGGCGCAGGCGTCAAGTGCTTCAGTCTCTAGTTATGTACTATATACATACATACATATATGTATGYATGTATTTCTATCTACATTTACATCTTTAGCTGCTCTTGTAGGCAACTCGAACTTCAAGAAGCGTGAACAACGACAATTCAAAACTCATTTGACTCGTGCCCACATCCCCTGGGTTAGATCTTTCAAAACAGTTTGACATGAATTTTGCCCAGAAAATTTCTCCCAAATCATGAAGCCACAGCCGTATATAGAGTCAAACAGGGGCAGCTGTTGACGTTGATTATGATGATGCCCAAAAAGGCGTGGCCAGCATAATTAAATGTGATTACTTGTACATTAGAGTACAACAGACGGTTGGGCATGGAGCGGGGGCGCGAGGGAGGTGCTCATAAATGTATGTTTTGAACACCCAACAGACCCGCATAATTATAGGCCCCGGCGTAAAGCGCGCTTAATAAGGCAAACAGAGAAAGGAGACAATGAGAAAAAGTTCACTCAACTCAGCTTTGGCGAATTTTATTTGAAGTTCAATATATAGATGTTTTCATTTTTTTTTTTTTTTTTTTTTGCAAGTGCTTGGACAAAATGTCACCTGGCCATAAAAAGTACGCCAGGTAATTGGTAATTCAGGCGCGCAGCCGTTAAACGAAAGTAAAATGCCAAATTCAGTACACCTAACCGGGCTAGCAATAGCAGAAGTACAGTAAAAGCTTCATAGCAAATCGGATTGTCTGGCTATAAAAACTCTGACAAACTTTCTTGAAATTCTGCCGAAAAAATTCTCTATACATATTGWTAGATATATATTGTAAATTTGATATAAATTGTATTTAGCCATTAATTTTTATATTTATTTATGCTTTAATTTCATTTGATTTAATTTAATTGTTAGCTGTTTTTTCACACTAGATTCTCTCTAGACTGAGCTCAGACAGATGATCAACAAACTTCAATAGAGAAATAATAGACAGTAATAAAATCGTAGCATACTTTTAGGCAGTCGTCTAATAGCGCCATCTATCGTTAGGCAGCGGCCAGGGAGTGCTTGGCAAGTAAACTATACGACATTGGCTTACAATTATTAATGGAAATATTTAACATATCAATGATAATTAAATGAAAAATATATATAAAATTATACAAAAATATTCAATATGTTTATAATATATATAGACTTAAATTTCTAAAATTTATTGCAAAGTTCATTGTTGTTTTATTTGTTTTGTGGCCGACTGCAGCTCGCAGCATTCGCACTTTTCGACTAGCTCTCGTTTGAACGCTTGGCTAACAGCCTGCAGCCAGGCAAGAGAAATAAAACTCAAGTTAGCTAGCAGCAAACGTTGCGCATAATTGCAAAAAAAAAAAAAATAAATAAAAAAAAATTGTTGCAAGCGACAATAAGGAAATAGTTTTCACGCAAGTGCGAAAGCAATTGAAATGGCAATAAAAACAAGGCAACAAAATAGGAAAACTCGTTACCAACAGACCATTGTTGGCCGTATAAAGATAAAGTCAATCACAAAACTATTTGTACTCACATTGACAAAATTCTCCCGACAAATATCGTCGACCTCATCGCGCTTGCTGATGCGCTTCTTCCAGTCATCCTCGCCGCTCTTCTGCAGCGCGGCCAAACGATCGGCGATGGAGCCCGTCTTGGCAATATTGCGCTGATCGGGACCCATAATCTAAGAGCAAACAGAGATTGAAGGCTGTAGTCGATGGGATTGTGTGTGTGTGTGTGTGTGTGTGGAGTGTGTCAGACAATCAACTCACCTCAGTTTCTACTTCTACTGCAGTGGCGTCGTCTTCGTTGAGAGCTGTATCCTCTTGCTTATCTGGCTGCGATTGCGTTGATGTGTGCGGCTTATCGGTATCTACATGACGCAACTTCACAAACCCACCTGCATTAAGTGGCGGCAGTTGGGGGCCGGCTATGCCCGAGTAACTTTTGCTTTTCGCAATGAGATTGCTGCAAAGAGATAAACACAGAGACAGACTGTTACAATATGTGTGCAGCTGTGTGTGTGTGTGTGTGTGTGGCATCGTATCTTACAGATACTCGCACATCAAATGCAACCAGCAATCGGCATTCAGCTACACGTTACACGCCCCATTCTATCCATTCCATTAATAACAAACTCGTGATGCAGCACTTTCTGTGCCACTAATGAGGATCAAGCGACCCAGCGCTGATAACTCTCTGCATACTACAACACAGGAAGCAGTCGCCGCTAGACTTTCCAGGCAACTTTCTCTACTCTTTCATAGAGCAGGCCGTATAATTTATAAATGTCAGGAAAGCATTTTATTTAGATATGTTTTTAATAGAAAATCTTGAGTATAGATTTAGTTAAGCGAAGTTTTCTTGTCATGAATTGGATAGACTAAGAGGCTAAAAGTCACTCTAGTTATGAGTATAATCAAAGTTCTTCCATAATGTTCAAAGTATATATTCTAACAGCCTTTAACCTCGCCTAAATTTCTCAGACTCTTAAACACGCCCAGTGAGTCAACTCCAGTTGCTTCACAGACTTTTCAGTTCAGCTTCGTTTCATTATAGACTTCCATTACTCATCTAACAGGTAAAGCTAATTTGAGATGAAA